TCTTGGAAAAGGAAGGGGACTCCAACTAGAATTGGGAATCCTAGTTGGACCCCCCCCCTATAGGCGTGCCCCTCCTAGGTCGGCCTTCTCCTCCTCCCTCCTTTATATACGAGGGCAAGGGGGCACCCCAAAGCACAACAGTTGTTCTCTTAGCCGTGTGCGGTGCCCCTCTCCACAGTTTAACACCTCGGTCATATCGTCGTAGTGCTTAGGCGAAGCCCTGCACCGGTAACATCATCAACACTATCGCCACGCCGTCATTCTGACGGAACTCTCCCTCGTTCTCAACTAGATCAGGAGCTCGAGGGACGTCATCATGCTGAACGTGTGCTAAACACGGAGGTGTCGTACGTTCGGTACTTGGATCGGTTGGATTGTGAAGACATTCGACTACATCAACCGCGTTACTAAACGCTTTCGCTTTCGGTCTACGAGGGTACGTGGAGACACTCTCTGGTCTCACGATTATGCATCTCCTAGATAGATCTTGTATGATCGTAGGAAATTTTTTGAATTACTACGTTCTCCAACAGTCGATTCCCGGCAAATAGCCCTGGAGGCTGTCAGGCTCGCACGCGTTCGCGACGCTGAATTTTACTACCAGCTCGTCAAGTGGGTTTCCCGCTTAGAAGCCGAAGCTTTGGTGGACCACGCCGGCATGGAAAGGTCCAACGCGTCCGAGCAACGCGCCCTATCGCACCTCTGTCAAGTCCGAGGCAAGGAGGAGGACTTCAGTGCCAGCGTTTAGCGTGTACCGCAGATGGCGGCCGGCATCGTCTAGTTAGCTAAGAGTAAGTTAGTACTTGTACACTACTAGAGTATTACTGGGAGTAGATAGTTAACTTGGCTATGATGGTTGTCAACATGGAAGTTCAGTACTCTATATCTGGATCGCACCTGTTACTTTGCTCTGAATGTTGAATTTTCCGTTTGAACGTATGGAATGGGCTGTTATTTTTTTAAATTGGTTGTATTTGTCCGCCACGGGTTTAGAGGTTGACTTGTGGTCCTACTAGGTTGACGCGTACACAATCAGGAGATGATTGTACGTGGAGAGGATGACAGCAGGGACCCACCAGGGTCATGGCAGTACGCAAGCAAGTTCCTCCTTATTTCAAGCCAAAAAAATGGTTCCTCCTAATGGATTTCTGACATCTGGGTCCCATGCCATTGTCAACGTAGTCAATAAACGAGAAAATTGCACAACGAGCGGCTGACACCAGGGACCCAGCAGCTCGCCCAGTTATTTTTGTTTTTGAGATGGAAGCAGTGTGTCAACAGGGCTGTGCAGGGCACTCTAACCTGTCTAGCCAGCCTTTTCTTTTATGTTTACCACAAGACCAGCCCAGTAGTTTTTTTTCTTTCTGAAAATGGCTAGCAAAGTTTTTTTGTTCTTTTGCAGAATACCGAACCGAGGCCTACTTACTTTTGTCAGCCCTGCTGGGCTGCAAATCTTTCAAGACGAGGAGAGCTTTATTCGGCTTGCCCAGAAAATGAGCTATCAGTAATGAGAAATGGGATGTACATTTTTAAAACACATCAAACCGGCAATTAGTTTCAAATTTCTTTTTTTTCATTTCAAGATTTTAAATTTCATTGATTTTTATGCGTGGACAATTATTTAGATTTTATATTGATATAAATTTATTATTAAAATTAGTTTGAATGTGAGTCAAAATTTCAGGATTAAAAAATGTTCGGACCGCACCAAAAAATGCAAAATTTTCTATAATTTTTTAACAGCGGCCGTAATATGGGCTGTAATGCTAACAAAAAGAATACGGGCTCAAAAAACCTTAAGAATTAGCAAATGGACTGTAATTTATTAGAAATAATGGCAGATGGGTTGTATGTTGTTTTCCACAGATTTGAGGCTGACTTGTGCGCCTACTATAGGTTGACGCGTACGCTTTCCTAAAAAAGACGCACACGCTACGCCGTGTCAACTTAGTCAACGCATGAGAGCAGTGACTATTGGATGTCCATCCAATGGCCGTCATGCTTGTTCAATCTCTGCTCTTCCTGCTCCAGCCGCTCAAACAAACGTCAGCGGGACTGCCTGCTCCCTCCTCCCGTGGCCGGCTATGCTGTCACGCAGGCCTCACCGCCCCACACTACTCCCATCGCTGGTCTGGCCATCCCTCTACTCACCCACACTTGTTGTTATTCTCCGGCGACGACAGACGAACCAGTAAACCCTCGTACTCCCCTCCATGTGGGAAACAACTGTCAAGTCTTCCCTGGCTCTATGTCGTTCCCTTCCTAAGTCTCGCCGTCGTCCACCGCCCTGGTGCTCTCGGCGCGGCGTGGTCAATGTGGTCAACGAACGACATCCATCGGAAGTGGACTGTACGTGGAGAGGCTGACAGCTGGGTCCACGGCCGCACACAAGGAAATGCCTCCTTATTATGCGCAGAATAATGATTCCTCCACCTGACAGCTGGGACCCACCGGAAGGGCCTCTGTATTTCGCGAAAAAAATGTTCCCCCCGCTGATAGCTCACACCCACCAGCTATCACGCAAGGAAGTGTCTCCTTATTACGCACAAAAAATGAATACTTCTCCTGCTAACTGGGACCCACCATAGTGGGAGGCTGACTTATGGGCCTACTAAATTGACGCGGACAGAGGGCTTTGTCAACTTAGTCAATATGAACGATTCTAGCTCCAATGACCGTATGATGTCCATCAAACGGCCGTAGTGCTTCTTCAACCTCTGGTCTTCTTGCTCCAGCCGCCCAAACCAGCGTCGGTCGTGCCACCTGCTCCTGCCTCCCGTGGCCGGCTCTGCTGCTGTGTAGGCCTGACCGCCCCACCCTACTCCAACCTCTGGCCAGGCCATCCCTCTACTCACTCACAACCCCTGTTATTCTACCGTGACGGCAGCCTCACACCACAGTCGAACTAGTCAACCCTCATACTCCTCTTCGTGTGGGCATCCACTGCCGCATCTTCCCCGGCTCCACGTCGTCCCCTTCCTAGGCCTCGTCGTCGTCCACCATCTTGGTGCTCTCGGCGCGGCGTGGTCAATGTGGTCAAGGAACGACTTCCATCGAAGGAGTACTGTAAGTGGAGAGGCTGACAGTTGGGTCCACGGCCGCAGCAAAGAAGTGCCTCCTTATTACGCGGAAAATAATGATTCCTCCACCTGACAGCAGGGACCCATCGGACCGGCCACCGTATTTCACGAAAAAAAGTTTTCCCCTGACTGTTGGGACCCACCAGCTACATCTTCGCACTCAAGGAAGTGCGTCCATATTATGGGAAAAAATATGATTTTCCCCCTAAGAGCTGGGACCCACTAGTTATATCTTCGCACGCAAGAAAGTGCCTCCTTACCTCCCTGACAGCTGGGACCCACCCGGTCAAACCGTACATAGGATTGTCTGTCTGGTCGCGAACGTGTACGTACATACTGGTCGATCGGTCTGTTTGCAGGCTGCAGCGATGAACCGTGGTCGAGGAAGGAAGGGCACGTATCGTATTAGAGGCGTGGGCGTAGCATGTCACGCAATCCCGTCTATATCGTGTACACATATGTACAACCAGGATGCAAGAAAGTAAATACGGCCATGTACGTACATACGGGCAGGGTCTCGAACGCCTACTCGCGCATATGTACGGCCAAGGCTCGTGTACATGGAGAGGCAGCGGAGAGCAGCGACGACGTCATGTTCATCGACAACCAACCGGCTGGGTCGAAACAGAGAAACTGCATCGTGTTCATCGGGAGGTAACAAAATGTGTCCTGTTCATCGGGAGCCAACCGGCTTGGACGGTACGGCCGAAATGAGGCCTGGCGTACCGCGGGATGGTGGAAATGGCCTTCTGTTCGACCGCCTACAGTTAAAACAGGATCATGTTCACTGGTAGGGGTCTGGCGTACCGCAAAATGGAGGAAACACCCAGTTTCTCCTGTTGATCGGGAGGGGTGTGGCGTACCACAAAACGGAGGAAACGGACTTCTCTTCGACCTCCTACGGTCGAAACAGGGGTCCTGTTCATCGGAAGGGGTGTGGCTCACCATAAAACGGGACTTCACGGGCTGCGCGGCGAGATGGCGACTCTGCCATCAGAGAAACCGAATGGGCGGTGAGGCGAGAGGGGAGACAGTGCGTGTGAATTGTCGAGTGTGGTGATTGCAAGGAGCAAGGAGAGTTAGAGACGTCATGTCGTCTCCCGCGCTTCCCACGCATGGCTCGAGCGAGACCGACTCTTAAAAAATTGCCGATTCGGCCGTTCGTCCAGAGCTCTCAGCCAGCTCTGAGATTCATGCGGGCCAGATTTTAGATGCAGCCCAGGCAACCAAATGGCCCAGGCCGAATTCTGCACGCCCGAGCCTGGCTGGGCCTAATGCAGCCTACCAAACGCATACATATTGTTTTCCAGGGATATATAAACAACCGTTTCACCGGGTCTGCTGCTCTTTACTTCGCCAGCACTTGCCTTCGGAGCTAAGCATTGCAAGTTTGCAACGCATCCATCGCCGTCGCCATCGCACAGCCAGCGCTGCAGCGTACCGCGTCCGTCGCGTCGACACACAGCCCCACCGCTGCCGCGTACAGCGTCCGGCCCGTCCGTCGCCTATAGCTGTCGCGCTCGAGCCCCCGCAGATCACACGTCGCGCACAAAAACGGAATCCCTCTACCCCCACGTCGCTATAAAGTCCCGTCCCCAACTTCCCTCGATCAACATCGTCTAGACTCACGGAATAGATCTGTTCTCTCTCAGACTCTCAGCAGCGGTTATCCGTCGTACGCTCCTCTCTCGGCTCAGCGCGCCCTCCGGACGCACGGCGGCGATGGCCGAGGCGGCGCAGGGCGGGGGGCTACGCGGCCGCGGCGTGCTGCTGGGCGGCGTCCAGGACGCGCCGGCGGGGCGGGAGAACGACCTCGCGACCATCAAGCTCGCACGCTTCGCCGTCGCCGAGCACAACACCAAGGCCGTAAGATCATCCCCACCCGATCCCAAGCCATCTGGCGTCTGATACGCGTAACTGTAACTGACTGATTAACCTGATGGTGAATTTTGTTGTGCGCAGAACGCGCTGCTGGAGTTCGAGAGGCTGGTGAAGGTGAGGCAGCAGGTGGTGGCCGGGTGCATGCACTACTTCACCATCGAGGTCAAGGAAGGCGGCGCCAAGAAGCTCTACGAGGCCAAGGTGTGGGAGAAGGCCTGGGAGAACTTCAAGCAGCTCCAGGAGTTCAAGCCGGCCGCCTGAAAAGATGTAAATAAATATGTTATGTGAGCTGAACCGCTGAAGCTTGTAGCTGGAGCCTATCAAAAAACATGCCAGCCTCACTGGATACTGGTGTAATATGATGAAATAAACCTGCTTCCTGCCTGATGTGTATGATTGATTCCCACAAGTATTTTGCTTGTTTGCACTTCACCTCCCACATAACTCGAAAGCTTGATGTCTTAATAACAAGATTGTTAATCACTAAAGCAAGTGAAAAATCCCACCTGGAAGAGAGAAATTCAGAAATAACACAAGATTGTTAATCACTAAAGCAAGTAAAAAATTCCACCTGGAAGAGGAAAAATCACAAATAACACAAGATTAGAAAAATCCCACTTGGAAGAGAAAATTCACAAATAACACAAGATTATTAATAACTAAATCAAGAGAAAAAACCCACCTGGAAGAGTGGAACCTCGTAAGAGCTAACATAAGCATTATGACATAGCATTTGATCTAAAAGCAACCATGATTTACAACCGGAGAACCTGTCTAGTTATATAGTTGCTACACTATATAGTTGCTACACAAAATACTAGCTACTACTGGCTATTGAGCAATCAACATATGTCACATCCTAAATTACTTCTGCAGCATCTGCCAGTACACATACTACAAGAGAATTGCTACTACATTGTCAAGCTTGGCCTGCTAGGATGTACATCATGTCATGTCTACCTATCAGCTTCTCAAACTAGAGTCACATCATTCTTCATTGTCATAGTCTTCGTCCTCCTCTAATCTATGGTTTGACGACAACGCAAACTGGACCGGGTCCATGGCCATCTTGTTCATCTCAGGCATTTGCCAGCCCAGGAAATCCTTGGTCTCCACTTCTTCTTTCAACTGTGAAACCGATGGTCCTGAAGTCTGGACTTGCGGTGCCACGGTCACCACAGGAGCTGAAGGCTGGACTTGCGGCGCCACTGTATCCTCCTCGTAGTCAGCAAGATCTAAGTTCAAGTCAATGTTCCTTAAGGAGGCCCTGGCATTGCTCAAAGGGGTATGCTCTTTGGTTTCACTTGTGTCCAGAACAACGTCTCCAATCTCTACCTTCAGGTGGCCTGGTTTGCTAAATTGGGCACAACCTAATTCATGGTGTTCAATCTCCCTCTCAGCTCCACGCCCAGCACGGCGACCTCTCCCACGTCCCCTCCCACGCCCTCTGCCGTTGCTTGTGTGGCATGCTGCCTCCTGCATGTGCAAAACTTTTATCAGCTTGAGGTCGAATGGGCGACATAAAATGGGGTGATCATATATTTTGTGACATACGAAACAAGCTACAGGCTGAATAGCAGAGAAAATGAAAATCCTGAGCTCATACTAAAATCACAAAAATGTACATGTAAGTGTAACATATACAAAAAAGGTACAGGTCAGAGAGACTAACATTTCTTGTCCGCTTCGATTCCTCCTCGCTTTCATCTTCACCATGTTTCCTGATGACATTTCAGCAATTATTAAAGTTCATATAAACTCAAATTAACCAATTATTAAAGTTCATATCAGACTCTAATTAACCACAATTTGGAACCTTACCTTCTTTTGCCAAGCTTATCATCAACACTAGAATCAGGTGCACCCAAATCTGGAACTTTGCTAGAAACGTTCTTCAAAAAATCATACACATCGTAACTATGAATGCACTGTTTCCTGTAATAGCATAATACTGAATGAGATAATGGGACCGTCAGAAAAAAAAATGTTTTGCTCAAGGAAATAATACATATCAGGATCAAGAAAATAAGTCCCATTTCTACCACAAATTGAAATGATGCAACCACCACCCAACTGCATGTCCCTGAGGACCCCCACCAAGACGGTAATACCCCAAAATCAGCATAGACCACCACAAGACACATGCTTATCTACCTCTCTCCTTTAGTTTAAAACGTGTATCAGGGAAGGTACTTTTACAGCTTCCATAATCCATATAACACGCTGCTGACTTTGGCACAAAGTAGCACCAGGGCCCAATCAGTTACTAAATAGGATTGACATATAAGCTAACCAACTATGACATTAAATTCAGTTCAAAAGGAGCTAGCCCATATTTGTTGTTCCTGAAAATGTCATTGTGAAAGAGTACTAGAGCAATATCAGTACGTCAAAGCTTTTCACTTCTGATGTTTGTTATACAAGTGAATTTGTTTAGTAAAGCTGCAAATTGAAAAATAACAGCCAATGTGACAATGAAAGGTGGATCCTGACGGTATGTCATCAGTGAAACGATGTTATTTCCCCATGTGATATTTGTAGTGTTACTGAGCAACTTGCTCATTGGTATATTTGGACACTACATAAACTACACAAGGGACAGAATATGACAGTAGAACTGAACTTGAGGAAACAATTTATAGGTACAAAATTGCAAGCACAATGTATTGCCAAGAAAAATCAAAATGACGAATGGTAATGCTTCCAAGGTTTTGCCATACTAATCAAGAAGGTGTTTCGATATGACAAAACATACAAGGTCAAGGAAACTTACAGATGTGATGAACTCACTGTTTTGACCCCTTTTTCAACAGTGATGTTATATGTCCTATCGCATAAGTCTTGCAAAAATAGCTCCAACGCTTTGGCTGCAAATCATGATATCAGAAAAAGATGTTAGTCGAAAGCACATGCATGATGTGAGTTACAAAAAGAAACTAAGAAAATATAAGCACGTAGGTGCACTATAAGAGGCCGAGTTGCTTTGCTATTGCATATAGCTTGTGTCAATCATATATCAACATTGTACATGCCAACATTAATTAATTATATAGTTCACATAAGCACATGCAATTAAGCTATACCTAGCTGTTGATGTTATCTATACTGCTTATAAAAGTGGGGGTTTGCTGTCTACCGACGCACCGGCATTTTTGTACATGCGTCTAAAATGGAACGGCTTACATTCGAAGTATGACCCGCCAGAGTGCCGATCCTCAAGTATCTTTAATTACTGCACTCACTCAATGTATGGTCCTATATTGCAAACAGCAGGTACACATCAACTCTTACCGCGGCTACCCTTCTCTCATTTAATGTATGTCCCGCCATAGTCATCGAGTACGCTTAAGTACTCCACTCAATTTTGTGGTCCTTAATACTGTGCAATGTATACACAAGTTCTTCCCATGTCTAGCCCTCTCCAAGATTTCCCTTTCCCCGCACCATGGCTCCCCACCTAACTTGTGCCCATCTTCTCCTCTACCCAGTTTGACCCACCAGGACATGTAAAATAAATTTACTAGCTACAAATCAGGAGAACAGAGAAAGCCAAATCATCAAGACATGTTGGTAGCGTATGCTGAGCTAACAGGGTAGAGATGAGATGCCTGGTGGAGGAGCCAGTCAGGGGTCACTCTGGCATGGAAATATGGTGGTGACGCACCTGTGGGGGAGGTGTAAAGGCAACTGTGGATGCGTGGATTAATATAGGAGAATAGGCTTACATGGTTGACCATTGAGCCTGAACTCAGTTTCCCTGGCCCAAAGGATTCACATTTGCACCTTGGCTCTGCTGACCTCGGTAGCAAGTTCCTCCTCTTAACAAGAAAGATGACTACCGTTGCTCTACATCTTCCCTATATGCTTTATGGTCAGTATGATTCTCTAGTTTGAAATTGAGATCTATGACCATATATCAAATCATGTCATCTGAATCAAAGTGTAGTGCTGACTGACCGGCAGCTGCAAACGTGTCATGCTCCAAACAATACAAAACACGACTCTGTAGAGATAAATTCAGAGGATCTATCCCTGTCAACTTCCCGAAAGGACCAAATAGTTCTGCAATTTTGCCTATGTTTTGTTTACACCAAGAAGGAACAATAGATACTAATGTCTGCAATTATTTTTAGCTTCGGTTTTGAATATGAGAAAATAAAAACAAAGATGAAATTCCTATTACAGCGGTCAACACTGCCATTTCTGGAGCCCTTCAATGGAGCTATTTTGCCAACTACATTTAAATAAGATAGTAATTATTATGTTTCTGAAGAGGCGCAGCTTAGATAGACAAACGGTGTATGTAGCATATGTCTATGGCCTCTTGAAGATATGCTACCGAACTCTCTCGTTAACAACAAATGGCGAAAAAAAGATGATGTATGTAGTGAAATAACTCTGGAACTGATAAGAGGCGAATTGAAGGAAAGTTCTGCAAACAAGAGGCTGTGGAAAACTTACAAACTAGAACAGGTACAGCTAGAGCAATCTTGCCGACATCTTCATCTGCTTGCATGATCTTCTTAATCCGAGGCTGTATAACAAAGTACAAGAGGAAGCTGATATCACATTAACAGAAGAGTACCATGATACCATCTGAAAAGTAGTGGGAATCTGCCATTTTGAAATTATGACAACATGTCATCAATAAAACACTCATTAATCATAATTATGATTGTTGCATACTTCAGTGCAAATGGCCAACGATGCAACTTCGATGGAAAAGGACATGACAGTGATAGTATTCACATGTCGTTATAAGCACAGGTCCTAGCAGATGAGGTAAAGAGATTCTGCTAGCCCTTGTGAAAGAAAGAGTAATGAAGAAGGTATCTCTATCCACTGTAGAAAAACTGTAGTATCATGAGGATTCCATTGTACAGCAAACATATGTCATCAAAACACTTGCATCTTCCCGCAAAGATGGACCAAAAACAGATCAGAGAATATACCATGTTCAGAATAAAATAAACACTCTACACTACATATTTTTATAGATTGTACACAGCTTTAACCAACACTCATTGCCTGTTGTGGGCCAGATGTTAAATAGTAGAATCCTACTGTCTATTTACCATTTGAAATATACTACAAAATCTGACCAGTACCAACTCGTCGGGCTAAGAAGCTTCCCTGCCAGGCTGCTTTAACCAACAATCGCGCTCCTCTCTTAATTTTTATAGATTGTACACAGCTTTAACCAACAATCGCGCTCCTCTCTTAATTTAGGAAAAAAGGAAGGAGCACTTGGTGTTCATTATGTGGGAATATTAGTTTAGGTACAATCGGCCCGGTTTGAAGCAAGCTACCGACCAAAATAGGAAACACCGCAGAAGACCTGGAGTTGATCTTCTCTCGAGACAATTAAGCCATCTCCGCTGAAGTTGAACTCTCATTCCTAAAAAAACTCATATTTATAAAAGAGTTATTTAATAATCATGTCCATCTTTTTTCAGTAAATAGTGAATGCAAGTAATTTCGGTTTCCTTCATTCCTTAGAGAACAAACCTAGCAATTGAAGCACAAGGTTGACCCAAGGATTCAATCATAACGAATTAATCAAACATAAAATAAATTGACCCTGATGTTAAATAACAAAGTAGATTAATAGAGCACTCTCGTCGGCGGCAAAGCCATATACTAGTGAAACATTACCAGAGTAGGCAGAATCTACACAATCCAGGATTTTCCACGCATCCTGCCTACATCATATGCCCATCTATAACCACAGCTTCATTGCCATCAGGACAGCGAACCATAGCCACCATAAAAGAAACGTACATGAAACAAGCCCAGGATGAGCACGCGCAAGAGGCTAAAAATCATAACCGTGCAGCGAAATCTACGTGCTATTTACCGACAGCACCCAAAAAAATCCCCAAACGTGCATCTACCAAGCCCAGCCATGGAGAGAAACATGTAAACATGCACATCGCAGGTCCATTGGCCGCCAATTTACGAAAACCTAACCGCTGGAAACAAAACCTAGACGAGGCACATAAAAAATCGCGAAATCGACGGCGCGCACAGCATAGGGGAGGCCTGAACCGGCAAAAAATCGCATGGGCATGGGTCATACCGCGGGGAAGCGGGTGTCGAGCTTCTTCCTCATGGCGCGGAGCCGGCGGCGCCGGAGGGAGCGTCCCCGGCGGAGAGAACGCGGCGGCTGGAGGTCGGATCGGCGCGGCGGACGAAGCGGGGGACATCGGATCGGAGGGGGGAGAAAGCCACAAACATAAATAGCGATTCGGATAGATTTCTGATTTGGGGATTAGGGTTTCCGTTATCGCTATCTTTTCACTTTTTTTACGGGAAAAAATAAAACAAACTATTTTTTCCCCCATAAACAGCGCGGCCAATGGCCGCGCGAAGCGGGCAGAGGTGCGCGAGCTCTCCGGCGCGTGGAGGCTAAGCTCCTGGACCCGGTGCATAGGTCTTAGCCTCACGTGCGGCGCTAAGACCGTAGAAGGTTCATGTGGGGATGCGACGGACCGGGTCTATGGAGACGTTTCGCGGTGGGTAAAAGCTGGGCGCGATGTAGGGGCCCGCGTAGTTAGACCTCTCCCTCGTTTGCGCGTGCGGCCGCACGTCAGCCGTCCGCGTCGCGTTCCCCGGATGAGGTGGGCCCCACGTTTCTGGCCGGTTCGTGGCGCTCCCTGTGTCCGCCGTCCGATTCGGGGGGTCGGCGGGATCCGGTGGCTGTGGCGCTGTGCCTCGTTCGTGGCCTTGGGCTGCGAGAGTCATCGTCCATTCTCGGGCTCTCGCTTTATCTGGGTAGAGCATGTTCCGACTTGTCTTTGTGAGATCAGAATAGATTGCCGTGTGTTTTTTTAAACGCGGTACAGACGCAAGCGCTCATATACACGCGCATACGCTTATCCCTATAAACGCACACACGCATTTTCTATTCCTATAAGCGCATCTGAAAGACTGAGTCGGCATATCTTGTTGTGTTTTGTTTTGAGGAGTGTTAACTAAACGTAAAGGGATCATGTTTCAGGGTGTAAGAGGATATACAGTCGTACTTCGCAAACCCGCCCCCTCAAATGTCCGCAGACAAGTCTGGGCGTGTCCGCAGACAATGACCTATCACATCTTAAAAGTTTGATTTTATAACCGGATACCTAAAAGTAAAAACCTCAAATTCATATTATTACATGCAACGTAAAACGATCTTTAAGCGGAGCTCGTCCGCCTCCATCGTGCCTACGTCCGGCGGTCGGCTGCGCTTCTCAGAGTGTTGGTTCGGTCGCCTGAAAGGTAGAGTAGGGCATGGAACACGAGTCGACTCACGGGACTCAAGGCGCCGCCGTCTCCTAGGTCCTACTCTTCCTCGTCGGAACTCGGACGTCATATCAACGATGGATCCATCCCAGGACGAGCCAGCGACATCCACCACGACACAGTTGTGGCGCTCGGACTGCCGTGCCTTACGGGGCATCGGAGAATGCAACTCCACTGCGCCGACATCCACCGCCATGAGGGTCGCCACCGCCTCTCGCGCTTGTTGCCTCGTACAACAGGCACGCCGCGCCATGCTTCAGATGCCAGACGGATGGCACCCCAGAGGCAGTGACAACACACCCAGCGTCAGATCCATGCGACATGTTGGGGGTTGGGTGCGACATATGCCAAAGGATGGCTTATCATGGTGGGAGCGAGTAGAACGTCACCGGTGCCTGGAAGCGGGATGAGGCGTAGACACGAAAGTCGGCGCACTTGACCCAGGTTTGGGGCTCTCCTAGGAGATAACACCCTTAGTCCTGCTCTGCGGGGTCTCCGCATGATCACTAAGGCACTAGTGAATACAATGGTGCTCCTCGAGCTGTATGCTGAAGGTAGAAGGAGGCAGGGCTTGCTCTCTTCTCCCTCTATGTATGAGTCTAGTTCTAACCGGCCTGGCACCCTTTGCATGGGTGCCCTAGGGGGTTTATATAGGCCTACCCCTCAGGGGTACATTGGTAATCTGACCGGGTGTAGGGCCCAGTTGGCAGTGCCTCCGGTCGCCGGCTTCTCCGCCGACTGCTGGGGCCCGCAGCCTGGTGGGCCCCGTCGACTGGTCTGGTACGGAGCCGACAGGCCGCCTCCGCCGCTGGCGCGTCTGGTTGGATGGTTATTGTAGCCGCAATGTTAATGACGCATGCTTGGTCGGGGGAGGGGTGTGGCTACAGTCCCGCAGTCTCGTGGGAGATCACTGTAGCCTCACCGCGTCTCATCTGGTTAATGGCGCACGGGCCCCGAGGGAAGGCCCGGCCGTCTCCCAGAAGCCGAATCCCCTTGGGTCCGACTGGCCAGGCTACGCCGCCCTTCGGCCCCCGGCTGCCTGGTAGGGCCCGCCACCTGCAGGGCGTACCGACAGGCCGTCGTGGGAGCATGCCCCGCCTGTCAGGGGTGACATCAAGGGTGGAGTGG